ATTTTGGTATAGCAGCAACACTCTGCTTTATGCTTTGCTGATTTTCCTTTGAACACTGGGTAAACTCTTTACTCTTACTCATTCATCAAATATTTACTTCAAAAGGTCATTGAGATTAGTAATGCAAAATTCTTATTTTTATTTTCTGTCAGAGTCAAGTGCTTGCTATTGCTTCAGTATTTTTAATTTTTTTATAATTATATTGTTTTAATACTTACTGCTATTTCTGTATTTTTAAAGGATTTATTTACTTATTTAAAAAGCAGAGTTATGGTGTATGAGAGAGAGAGAGAGAGAATCTTTTTTTTTTTTTTTTGACAGGCAGAGTGGACAGTGTGAGAGACAGAGAGAGAGGTCCTCCTTTTCGTTGGTTCACCCCCCAAGTGGCCGCTATGGCTGGCAGGTTGTGGCCAGTGCGCTGCGCCGATCCCAAGCCAGTAGCCAGGTGCTTCCTCCTGGTCTCCCATGTGGGTGCAGGGCCCAAGGACTTGGGCCATCCTCCACTGCACTCCCGGGCCACAGCAGAGAGCTGGACTGGAAGAGGAGCAACCGGGACAGAATCTGGCACCCCAACCAGGACTAGAACCCGGGGTGCTAGCACCGCAGGCAGAGGGTTAGCCTAGTGAGCCGCAGCGCTGGCCGAGAGACAACTCTTCTAGCTATTGGTTCACTTCCCAAATTGCCAAAATGCCAGGTCTGGGCCAGGCTGAAGCCAGAGCCTGGGATGCACCCAGGTCTCCCACGTGGGTAGCAGGGGCCCAAATACCTGGGCCATCTGCTACTGGTTTCCCAGGAGCATTGGCAGGAACCTGGATCAGAATTGGAGCAGCCAGGACTCAAACTGGCTCACATATGGGATGCTGGTATCACAGGCAGCAGCTTAACCTGTTGTGTCACAACACTGGCCCCTGTTACTTACTATTAAAGTTGTAAACTTACCACCTTTCTATAATTTTTTAATGAAACCTTTATTAAATTAAAGATACTCATTCCCTTGAGCATGTTTTAAGGGTAGCAGTTCTAGAAACAAGTGTGTAGAAATGTCATAGGAGCAACTTATAAATAATATATGGAAACCCTATGACAATTTCCATTAATGATTTTTAAAAAGTCATAGTGGGAAAAATGGTATGGGAAAGCCTGAACTACTACTACTGCTATCACTACTACTACTACTACTTCTTTTTAAAGATTTATTTATTTGAAAATCAGAGTTAGAGAGAGGAGAGACAGAAAGGGATCTTCCATCTGCTAGTTCACTCCCTAAATGGCCGCAAAGACCCAGGGCTGAGCCATATTGAAGCCAGGAGCCAGGAGCTTTTTCCACGTCTCCCATGTGGGTAGCAGGGGTTCAAATACTTGGGCCATCTCCCCCCGCTTTCCCAAGCCATTAGCAAGGAGCTGGATCAGAAGTGAAGCTGGTGGGAATTGTAGCACCTATGGTGCTACAGCACAGGCCCCAAGCCTGAGTTTCTGATAACTAAACTGTGACAAAATGAAAAAAGTTTATACCATAAGATCTGGTCAGTAGGTTTTTTTTTTTTTTGTATGTATAGGTAATTAGCTGAAAATCATGCACATTTTTAATAATTATTGACAATTATGTGATAAAGACTCAAAGATGACAATTTTTGCCATCATTGTAGGAATGCTTTGTTTTAAAATGGCAATAACCTCCCACCCCTAGTTCTACATCAATACTTCTCTCTTCATATTCTTCCTTACCAAGAAAGTAAAACCAAACAAACTCAGAGACTCACACCATTTTGTAGAAATAAAGCCAGTCACTTCTGTGCAATTGATGTGCTTGGTCTTAAATATATTGTCAAAAATTAACTTATCAGCTAACATTGTCAGGGAATCTTGCTCTACTTTAAAAAATATTTCTTTTAAAATTATTTTTAAAAATTTTTTAAAATTATTTCTTAGAGCAGTTTTAGGTTTGCAGAAATGATGAAGACAAAGTATAGGGTGCACATATACTCCCACTCATACCCTTCAAAAGAGTTTTCATCATTACTAATGAATTACATTGCTGGACTACTTTAGGACTCACTTTCTTTTTTTTTTTTTTTTAAGATTTATTTTATTTATTTGAAAGAGTTACAGAGAGCTGTAGAGACAGAGTGAGTGAGAGAGGTCTTCCATCTGCTGGTTCACTCCCCAAATAGCCATAATGGCTGGAGATGAGCCGATCCAAAGCCAGGAACCAGGAGCTTCTTCTGGGTCTCCCATATCAGTGCAGGGGCCCAAACACTTGGGCCATCTTCCACTGATTTCCTAGGTGCATTAGCAGAGAGCTGGGTCAGGAGTGGAGCAGCCGGGACTTGATCTGGGGCTTTAACCCGATGCACCATAACACGGGCCCCAGGACTCACTCTTTATGTTGTAGAATTCTATGAGTTTTGCCTAATGCATAATATTATGCATCCACCATTACAGTTTAAAGCAGAATAGCTTCACTCCCCCTACTCAATCTCCTGTGTTCCACCTATCATCTCCTCCCTTCATTTTTTTTAAAGATTTATTTATTTGAAAGTCAGAGTTACACAGAGAGGAGAGGCAGAAAGAGGGGGAGGTCTTCCATCCACTGGTTCACTCCCCAAACAGCTGTAGCAGCTGGAGTGCACCTATCTGAAGCCAGGAGCCTCTTCTGCATCTCCCATGTGGGTTCAGGGGCCCAAGGACTTGGGCCATCTTCTACTGCTTTCCCAGGCATAGCAGAGAGCTGGATCAGAAGTGGAGCAGCCAGGTCTTGAACCAGCACCCGTATGGGATGCTGGCACTGCAGGAGGCAACTTTACCCGCTATGCCACAGCACCGGCCCCCCTTCCCTTCTTTTTCAAAACTTAAATTAAGCTTAGGATAATATTAATCAATTGGAGCTAAGAATTTGCTTAAATTACCAATATTTCCCATGGCAATCAAATTTTCTTAATCAGTCTAGACTAGCACAGTCCAATAGAAATACAATTGTGAGCCATAAACATCTTTTTTTTTTTTTTTTTTTGACAGGCAGAGTGGACAGTGAGAGAGAGACAGAGAGAAAGGTCTTCCTTTGCCGTTGGTTCACCCTCCAATGGCCGCCGCGGCCGGCGCGCTGCGGCTGGCGCACCGCACTGATCCGAAGCCAGGAGCCAGGTACTTATCCTGGTCTCCCATGGGGTGCAGGGCCCAAGCACTTGGGTCATCCTCCACTGCACTCCCTGGCCATAGCAGAGAGCTGACCTGGAAGAGGGGCAACCGGGACAGAATCTGGCGCCCCCGCTGGGACTAGAACCTGGTGTGCCGGCGCTGCTAGGCGGAGGATTAGCCTGTTGAGCTGTGGCGCCGGCCAGCCATAAACATCTTTACAATATCCTACAAGCTTCTTTAAAAATAAATGATTGAAATTAAATAATATACAAATTCCAGTATATCTAAAATGTTAATTTCAGTATCTAACCAATATAAACTGATATTTTTATATTTTTTGTACTCTTCAAACTTTTTTTGAAATTTTTATCTGGCAGGGAGAGAGAAATAGGGGGGAGGACAGAGAGAGCGCACATATAAGACAGTACCCCCATCTGCTTATTCACTCCTCTAATGCCTGCAACCGTCAGGGCCAGGCCCAGCTGAGACCAGGAACTCAGGGACCCAAGTACTTAAGCCCTCACCTGCTGCCTCCCAGGTGTGTGTGCATTAGCAGGAAGCTGGATAGGAGGCAGAGCTGGGATGAACCAGGCATTCTGATACAGCACATGCAAGTTTCAAGTAGGGACTGACAGCTGCACCACAATGCCAGGCACTGGTACTAACTCCTGAAATCCAGTGTGTGTTTTACATTTATGCATCTCATTTCAGGCATTTGGAGTGCTCACTAGCCACAAGGAGCTGGTTACTAAACATTGGATAGGGAAGGTTTAGACTGTGAACAACTTGAAAAGCAGGTATCCCCCTCTCCAGAGTAGGCCTGTGGCTGCTGGTTTGGACAGGTGATCAGGAAAAGAAAAGGCATTCCAGAACCTCTGCAGAGATGCTGATTCTTAGATGCAGTGCAACCATTTACTTTAAACTGTTGTTCTGGGAAAAGTGAAATGGGGAACATGCTTATTACTGTATCTTAAACCAAGAAGCACCAGTTTCCTGGCTCCCAGAAAGCCTGAATCATCTGAAGTGTTGACTCACCGAGCCCAAGGTGATTGAACTGTAATGTGAACCAAAATTGCCTTCCAAGGCGTCTTTCTCTTTCCATTTTCCTCTCTGCCCTCCCTCCCTCTCTCATTTTGGATGACTCATTCTCCTACCATGTAGAGTCCAGCAGCAGGAGAGCCCCAAATCCTCTTTGGAAGAACAGCTGACTTTCAGCCCCAGACAGCCACATGATCTAGCACAGCTCTGCCTTGCCCTCCTCATTTTAGGGTCTGCATTTAGACTGGGAGTGAGCCTAGAGCGGTCTTTGTTTTCCTTTCAGGGTGGTGGTGGTAGTCGTGATGTGTGATGGGGAATTTAAGTTTGGAAACATACAATCTTTCATCTCAGAATCTTTTAAAATCCGTAGGGTCAACATCCCAGGCCTCTTTGTACCTTTCTCCACTTTGGTTTTTTTCCTTTCCGGGGAGGAAAGTTTCCACCCCTAGTCCCCCAGGATAACGCCCTTCCGGTGGCGCGCCAGGAACCGCTCTGACCCCTCCCGGCCAGCGGCCCGTCCCTTTAGCAGTGCTCTAACAGACCGACCTCCAGTTGCGGGCAAGGCCAAGCCCCCCACCCCAATCCACATCTACCCAACGTGGAGGGCGGAGTGCCCATCTCCAAGCCCCGCCCACCGAACTCAACCCCAGCCGGTAAGAAAGAGGAAGTGCACGGAGCCCCACCCACTCTCAGCTCTCTCCCTTTCCATCGGGCCGGCCGGCTGCCCATCTTCTCTATCCCGCAGCCTATTGGCGCTCTCCCTCCCGCGCCAGTCCCTACCCTCCCCGCCGAGGAGGAGGGTGAGTCACGCCAAACTGGGCGGAGAGTCTGCTGGCCTCTCTCCTTCGCTCGTCTGGGCGGCGGCGGCGGCAACGGGGGGACGGGCGGGTGGCGCATCCGGGCGCGGAGGCAGGAGGAGCAGTCTCATTGTTCCGGGAGCCGTCGCCACTGCAGGTCCCTCGGCTCCGTGGGCTCGGCCCCTCTCAGTCTTCCCCAACC